GACAAGTATAAGGAACATCTGAGTCTTTGAGAAAAGTCAGAGAGATGCTTTTCTGAAACGTGATTAAAATAGATAACTCTTTGTTGTCCAAACTTCTTGAAGGCTCTTCTTTGAACAGAGATGCCTATAGAGAGAACACAGGAGTCCCCGAGCCTAGCCCATGACAAGAAGAGACAACTGAGAATAGGTCTTTGCCAGTGCTGTTAATGTAGGACTTGTTCCCCCACCTGGCCCTCAGAAACATCCAGAACTCCACCCCTCCTGTGGTTACTGCTAAATTCTGTGAGCCTAGGAGATTGGGATTAAAGGTTAGGAATGTCCCTATACCTTCCTGATCTGCCAGCTATGGTTGGATTAAAGAAGGGAACTGCCATCCCATCAGTGTGTGGAAACTCTGACCTCTGGTTTTACTAGTGTGACTCTGATACCAGGTCAGGCTTTGGGCAAGATCATCAAGGTGCACATGTTCAGTTCTGCTCAGGGGTTTTCCAGCGGCTCCATTATCCTCTTTGACTATAAGCCAGACCTGTGCCCACTCCTTCCTTTCATACAGATGTGTAAATGACCCTAGTCATTACCTTCCTTGGGGCTGTTTGTTGTATTAGAGAGACATACATTTTGAAATACAGCAATGAAAGTTGGTTTTGGAGTTTGGGGCCTTCCACAGGGGAGGGATGGGAAGGTTGTTTCCTAATGCTGTGAAATCAGTTCGGGCAGCTACGTACTCTGTCTCCTTTCTACCATGGCCCTGCCTGCCTAGTGCTTTATGGGAAGCATTGTGCTCACCGCCTTCTGAATTTCTGACTTCTACCCAAGGGTAGCTGAGGTTCAGCATGTGGAATGAAATCATGTTTCCTGCATTGTGTGGCTTTTTTGCAAAGAGAACTGGTATAAAAGGATACTCTGTCATCTGTCACTGATTTTTATCTCTTAGTTCCTAGCGAAGAGCCTGGCCAACTTCATCTCTGGTGCCAGATCTCTTTAAGACCATTTTCTAAATATGTTTTTGAGCAAAAGGAATGAGGAATTCACCTCTTACGGAATGCATTGACAAAGCAAGCTAAAAAAACAAAACTTGTACGGACCAGCTTTTCTTCAATGTTATCTGTTACTTCCACAGGCCAATGCAGGTCATGTTAGAACAAGTGATTTGATCTGCAAACAGCTTCATTCTTAGGTGAAATTTTTGACAATCATGATAATGCACGGCCTGTTGCTGCCATCCACTCTAAAAGTTAGAATCCAATTAGTTAGTAGATTGATGAAGTAGTTGTTAAACATCCATTGCATACCTAGCTAGTGTTAGGTCTTGGTAAGATGCAAAGTGAAGAAAGAAGGTCTTCATCCTCGGAAGAACTTGCAATCTAGCTAGTAAGATAAAACATACTGAATTTTAACCGCCGAATTACGTGACACACTCAGGACCAAGGGCCTATAAACAAGGGGAAGAGCACCGGGGCTCTTGGAGAAATTCAGAAAGCTTTCCCAAGTAGCAAGGGGAAAAGAATAAGAGAATTCAGTCTGCTATCTTGAGGACCTTTAGAAATCCCGCATAATGATTAGCAGCTCAGGCAAGATGAGAGAAAAGTCAGGCTGTCTACTCTGTAGACAGTTGGATCTAACAAGAGAAAGATAGAGAGTTTTATGATTTGTAACTTGGAAGTCATCATAAAGAGCTTTGCTTTCACTTGAATCAAGGGTGACTCAGGAAATTTACAAAATACGTGGTTTGCTGCCCAACAAGAGAAACCAACGATAGAGACTCTACGCTAATTTTAAAAAGGACAGTATTTGCTCCAGGTTATACATTTAAGGCTTATGGAAATAGTAAAAGTTGTAGGAAAACTATTGCAAACATAATAATATTTACATTTTAAAATATTTTAATGATCTCTTTCCCTAAGGAGATTTTATTCCCTTGGTCTTAATTACTTTATCAAGAATTGTAGCCAAGGTGCTCAACAGGCATTTTTAATGCTGAATTGAAGGCTTTGATGGGAGCAAGCCCCAAATGCCAATGGATAGGCAGTCGTCTTATCCTACATAGTGGGGAACATTTTAAGATAAAAAATGTATGTCTTTCTCTTTAGGCAGCAAATGCGAATTAGGGAATAGAGTAGGAAGGCAAAGATGAATTATAGTAGGCTTAAAATGAGGACAGGGGAAAATAATGACCCAGCGTGTTTGGAATATCTTTCCCTGACTGGCACAGCTTTTTTCCTCCCTCTCCTCTGGGCCTTGACCCTTACCGGTCTATTTATAATCTTCTAGTTAAAACAAGCTGCATTAGTCACATCAGCTGCACAAGATGCATTCACCCTCATATCCGTTTGCTTTTTCCTTCATATTTTATTTTCCTCATTCGCCTTGAGCATTGAGAGTCTGGAGGGCCCTTCTTGCCTCCCCTCCACACGAGTTACAGGTATTCCCTTCTTCGCCATTTATTCTTGTTCTCTACTTTCTGTTGCGAGAGCTCTTCATCACCAGTTCAACTGTCCCTTAAAAAATTTGCTGAGGGCCTACTTTGTGTCGTTGTCCCAACCCAATGCCCTTATTTTCATCACTTCCCGTTCACAAGAGAGAATAGAGGCCAAGAAGCCTAGACTCTCCATAGAGGCGCCCACTCTATCTCCTCTATCTCCTTCCGTAGTTTTATAGCCAGACGCTTGGAGAAGGGTCTCTGTGTTTACAGGCTCCACTCCTCCTCTCGTATTCATTTTAAACTATGGCAGCCTGGATGCTGCTTCTCCCACCTCACCGTGGCTGCGCCTACAAAGATGCAGTAGAAGTGACCTAGTCCCAGAAGCCACTGGATACTTTTCAGTGTTCATCTTTCTTTACCTTTCTCTGAAATTTGACACTCTTAAAGCACACTCCCTTCTTTGTGGCCCTCTTTCCTCTGTGGCCGTCTTCAGCCATTACCTCTTCCCTCTCTGGTAGGACACCCTCCTCCTGCTGCCTCCCAGATATTGGTGTGCCTTTTGCCCTATCCTCTGCTCTCTTCATTTCCACTTTGCGTGCACTGTCTGGGGTTGCTCCTCATATACAGTGATGTCCTAGATCTAGAACTTGTCCAGAACCTTAGATTCAGTGTTCTGTTGGCCAGCTTCTTCTGCCTGTCCCATAGACACCTGAAAGTAAACAATTTCAAAACAAGCCCCCAGGTAATTCCTCCGCACCCTAAGACTTGGACATCCATCTCTTAGGGCCAAGCACAACATCTAACATCACATTCCACCTGGCCAGCTATAATCATAGGACCTCTTAAAACATGTTTGAATCAGGACTCAAGGTATCACAAGGGTCCTCCTGATGTCATTGACTGTGTTCATGCATACTCAGTAACAGAGAAACATTGGTTTAAAAAGTAAATGACTTTTGATATCCCTCCAGTAAATTTGAAACGATTTGCTTTGCTATCCCTCCAGTAACTGAAATGATTTGCTTTTTCTCTTCGTATTGATAATCATCAATTTGAGATAGCAAGTAACAGGTGTTGGTACCTTTCTTTGGCATTGGAAAAGCCAAGGTCCAAAAGGAGTAAGCATCCTGTGTCCACAGTAAAAACGTGATTCCTTAAGGAGTCAGTCTGTAAGGATTGATTTGTGTATTCATTTACGCAATAGATATTTATTTACTGCAAACCCCGGTTGTATGCGAACATAGTGGAGCACCAGACAGATAAGGTTTTTGGTGTAATGGGATATCCCTTGTGGTATGCTGCTTCTTGCTCCTTGTCTTTGCTCTGATTTTTTCCATCACATTAGTGATAAATGATAATTATGAGCAAATACTTAACTATGGGCCAGGTACTGTTTTAGGACTTGATACATACTGATTCATTTAATCACCATGACAACACTGTGAGGTCTATAACGTTATACACCCATCCTACAGAGAGGACAAGTTGGGCCATAGAGAGTTTAGAACCCTGCCGTACGTAGGTCATACTGCTGGGAAGTGATAAGTCTGGGATTTGAACCAGGCAGCCTGGCTCTAGGACCCAGGCTCTTTGCCACTCCCTGGCTACCTTAACACCACAGTATGGCTTTCTACTCATCTGTTTGTGATGCTCCATGATAAGCTAGTTCTCAGCATGCCAAAATTAACCTACGATTTTAAAGAACATACATTTGGGGGGCGCCTGGCTGGCTCAGTGGATTAAAGCCTCTGCCTTCAGCTCAGGTCATGATCTCAGGGTCCTGGGATCGAGCCCCACCTCAGGCTCTCTGCTCCACAGGGAGCCTGCTTCCTCCTCTCTCTCTGCCTGTCTCTTGTGATCTCTCTGTCTGTCAAATAAACAAATAAAATCTTAAAAAAAAAAACCAAAAACACACATTTGGACTTTACCGTGCTTTCTTGAGCTCTCCTCCCTCCACCTGCCTTGGGCATTGCCTTGCAGTGGTCACATTTTCTAATCTGAAATCAGTAGCAAAGGAAGAAAAAGCTCGCAGGTAAGCCCAAGTGGTTGTGACAGGTTGCTGAATAAAACTGGCTCAGCTGAAGTTCTGAGATTCTTGATAAATACCGAGAATTTCTTACAAAAGAAATTTTCCTTTTGATAGGAAATCATGGGTCATTGCACAGTTGCTAGCATCTTAGCAAAGAGAAGATGTGTCTTGAGGCCCAAGGAGCATAAAGTCTTAATGAGATTATTTGTGGGCTTCTCCTTCTGCATCACTTTTAAAATATTAGAGAGTATATTTTTCTTTCTTTTTTTTTTTTTAAGATTTTATTTATTTATTTGACAGAGACAGAGAGATCACAAGTAGTCAGAGAGGCAGGCAGAGAGAAAGGAGGAAGCAGGCCCCCTGCTGAGCAGAGAGCCCGATGTGGGGCCCGATCCCAGGACCCTGAGATCATGACCTGAGCTGAAGGCAGAGGCTTTAACCCACTGAGCCACCCAGGTGCCCCTAGAGAGTATATTTTTCATCTGTCTCTACCATCTTACGTTTCCACGGGCAAAACTTCACAGAACTTCTCAACCCTTTAGAGTTGTTGAAAGAAAAAGAAAAAAATGACAACAGACATTTATGAAAGACTTTGACACACAGTAGCTTACTTGATCACCCTCTTTTTATTCTCTTAGAAAGAAGACAGAATCGCAAGGCTGTCAGTGCATGTTGAAATTTTTTTAACTTGTCAATGTTTTCTTCTGGATAATCCTAATCTTATCTGGAAAAATGGCCAGTCTGAATCAGTGAAGTGTTCTGACGATGGCCTATTATGAAATGAAAGTTTCGTTATTCCAAACTGCATATAGTAACTTTGGGGCACTGTTCTGATGAGGGATACCAGTCTCATCTGGTTACGATATAGTAGTTGATAACCCACCGCACAAGGCCCTGAGGTGGGTTGAAATCTGCTCCCCCCCTTATTTTTGCATTCTTCGCCCACACAGTCCCACCTCCCTCCTTCATTAACCAAAGACTCCTAGCCAAAACACTCTGGGAGGCACACCGAGAGCTAGATGTGCCCCCTGGGTTGCTTTTTTTTCTTTTGTAGCAGAGAATTCTTGGCCTGGGATGTTCATGTCCTGGCCACCAGTCCCCAAGAGATGGCCACATGTCTCCTAACTTTAAATGAAAGCTCTCAGTCCCAGAGGTAAACTTTGGCTTGGTCTCAGTCAAAATAATCACAGAACCAAAATGAGGCGGGCCCACGTGAATGAGATTTTTCTCTTCAGTCCCTATAATGCCCAGAGCATTAACAAAAACATATGTTTGTGTGAAGGGGGCTGTTGTGTAAATAAGCATCTCCTTTTGATTACTGCAATCGTACAGGAAAAGGCCATCTGTTTGGGTAGAAACTATGGAAATATATCTAGGTAGCCAAGGAAAAGCTGAATTGTTACAGAAGGATGTGTCACACAGACAAGAAAATAATTTACAAAGCAGTGGGTTGAAAATATTTTCGAATGCTAAACAAGTTAGTCCCTTAAGGCTGTCCTTTTGGGTGATGCGTAAGTAATGTGGGTTTATTTTTTGCTTGACTGTTTATTCCCCGCCCCCCCCCACCCAAGAAGAATCTTTTTCCTGTAAAGCCAGAGTTTAAGACTCAGCTTCTTTTCAGCTTGGATGAAATGAAAAGTGAAATTCATTTAATACTAATTATAACCTGCATAAGTCTAGTGAAGAGAAACTTCAGAAATGTAATTCTTGTTTTCTAGCTGAGCTTCAGTGCTATATAATTAGTATAATTCAATCACTTTTTGCCCACTTTTCTTTTCTCTGCATGATTTAAGACATCAGAATTTAATTCATGGCCAGAATAAAAACTGGACTTAGGGAAAACCTTGAAAAGGCTAGAGGGGGATTTGCCTCCTGCAGCATGGTTGAACACGTCCCGAAAGGAGCAGCTTTCGAATGCTGTGTCCTGATAGAATTCCCCGTTGAACAGTGGCCAACAGAGAGGCATCCTAGCACTGTCCCCTTGTCTGAGCTCTATGAACTGTCCCAAGTGCCCTGAATACAATCAAGGCGCCTCCACAGAATTGCTTCACAGCCTGACAGAAGGGCAGCAGTATCACAAGGCAAGCTGTGCTCTGGGATTATAAGCCCGAGGCTGTGGGTCTTGGAACGCACCAGCCACCCTGGCTCAACCCTGGGTAAATATTCCCAGTTCTAAGTAGGTTGGGGAATTCAAAGCCCTGCTTTTCCTGAGTCCTTCCACAACCACAGTCCATGACATGTTATGAGGTCTGGGTGGAATGGCCGTGTGTGGAGGGCAAATAAGGGAATGCTTTCTCCTGCTAATTCATCTGAACTCCCTGGCGGCCCCTTTTGCACTTAGGAATGCAGCCACTCACAGGGCCAGATTCTGACCCCACTGTAGTCATTCACTCGGACCAGCTTTACTCCTAGGGTGGTTGAAACCTATCTGCAATGATTTCAGAAGTCCTAAGCAGTGCCTTCTACCCACCCAGTTTTCTCACTTGCCTTCTCCAGTTTGAGCTGAACTTGGAAGTTTCACAGGTAGATTTTCATTATTTAAGTGTATGGTTTTGATCCCTTCTAAAATGGAAATCCCACTGTGAGGCATATTACTTTTAAGTGATTTTCAGTCAGTTTTACCACAGGATGATTTAGTTTAAGATTCTTGGGTTTTGACAGGAAGAGAAATGGAAGGCTTGGGTTGAGTGAAGTGTTAGGGATGGGATAAGGCTGGTGGGAAGAGAAGGGATGCAGAGCTTGGAACATAGGCAGAAAGCAAGTTGCCACCATCACACATGTGGCCCGGGTGAGGACTGCAGTGACTTCTTCCCAACCAGGATTTTATTCCTGTGCTTTCAGTGAAAGGGGACATCTTATTATATTTACCTCTCCCTTCTGGCAGGGAAAGACTTAGAGGTTTTTTTGTTTTGTTTTGTTTTGTTTTTTACAGCTTTGACTCTTCTTTATCCCTTCTAGATGTGGTTCCATTTCCTTTCCAAGATGAAAGCTTGTCTTTGTCCCTTCCCAGAATAGTTCCAGGCAGCAGAACACAGTGAATCCTTCCAGATAAAAGACCCTGCTGATAAAATGCCAGATTGTTATCAGAGAAGTGAAGTGAGGGGAGTCAAGGCCCTACCATTAATTACCTAGTTACAGCTCTGTTTATATCCTGTTCGTTCGGGGGCATGTTTTCCTTGGACAGTTTCTTGTCTGTGTTCTTGAACTGCAGTCTGGTGTTTGCAAAAATCCCGAAGGTCAGGGAATAGTGGGTTCCTTATTTTCCGAAAGGCTTAATGGCAGGGAGGAGGATATCAGAGTTTCTGTCTTCCATCTGGAAGGAAATAGACAAATGCTTGGATGCGGTGGTTCATTCTTCACCGCAAGCGGGCGGACCCTGGTGTGTTGAATGAACTCTGACTTTGAATACTTAGCCAAGAAGTTCCCTGGAAATAGAATGACATTTACCTCTGTGAAGCCATGATTATCAACCAGTGAATGACGGAGTATCTAGACATTGAGGCCGGAGTCTAAAATGTCCTAAAACTGCTTGGAAAACATACTTCATGCCACTGAACTGTACACTTAAGAATGTGTAAGTTTTATGTTATTTTTATTTTATCACAGTAAAAATAAATTAATTAATGATTGAATAATGCTTGCTTCCTGGCAGCTCCATTACTTTAAATACCAAAGGGTCAGGCTGCATGGTCTGCTTGATTTTGAATGGAATTGTTGTTGCGTGTAAAGCATTACTGGCCCTTCTAAGAGCCATCAGGCTGTGAGCCCCGAACACCTCAACAAACACAAGATAAAGAAACTGTTTGGCTGCCATCATATGGATGTACTGGGAAATCTGGGGACTGGAAGAGCCCTATCTTGAAAATGATGGATTCTAAACCACAACAGCCACTCTCCTTCCACAGATGTAAAAAAGGAGGGGAATAAGGTCTCTTGAAGGCTAGAATAGTAGCATCTCTTGCTCTGGTGCTCAAAGAGTGGCTCGGAAATGCTCCACGACCAGAGGGAGGATTAGGTAAGTTAACCTCCTCTTGGTATCTGGCAGCCATTAAGTGGTCAAGCACATGTTTCTTCAGCAAATAAAACTCACATCTGACCTTGTGCTTTCCTGTTAGGTTCTGTCCTCAGCCCAACCCATTTTTGTTGTAAGGCTCTTGACCTATGACTCAGCCAGTTCTTTCAGCTTTCCTGGTGATGGGGTTCTTTTTGAGGACTGCACCGTTGCCATTTATTTTTTCAACTAGACAAAGAAACTTCTTAAGCCCTGCAAACATGTTCCCTGGTTACCTAGTTGCAGTGTGAATTTCAGGGTAGAAAAAAAGAAAGAAATAGGAATATAACCCTATTCTAAATCTGAAACATTTTTTCTTGTTAACCCAGAAGTCCTAAACTCAGAACCCTGACTAAAAAATGCTTCTTTTTTCCGTGTTTAAGTGGTGCTTATGCACTTAGGCCTGCCGTTCTTTGAAGAAGTTGTGAGATAGTCATCAAGGTTTCAGCAGTACTTTTCTCAGATTTAGTATTTTCCGTAGAGAAGGCAAGAAAATATAGGAACCCAAGAAGACGTTAAAGTAAGTTTAAATTTTCTATAAATTTAATTTCTATAAATTTATAGAAAATTTAAACTCAAATAAAAGCTCATTTTGAGTGAAAGCAGTCAAAATAAGCCCTGACCAGTTCTTATAAGTAAGAAAAATTGGAATTTTTAAAAAAAGTATTCTTTTAGGAAGTGAAAGATTTTGCCAGAAATAGCATGGGTGGTCAAAACAGTCTGGTATGAAAGACACATCTTTAAAAATCTCCGCTTTAAAAAATAAATTTTCTTTGCTTTCTTCTTAACTAATGGTTTTGTCAGAATAATCATTTAAATAATAAGTGAGATGCTTTGAAGTATCTAAGGGAGTGGAGAACTTTTCTGTGCCTTGTACGAACTGGTGATACAGATTATAAACTAAACAATGGCAAATTCCTCCAGTTTACCCAGGATCCAAATACAGCAAATGTCACCAAAGCCATAGAAATCTACTAATGAAATCATGATGATGAATGGAAGTGATCCAGATTGTTTAATTTTCCTTTGAAATGTACTTATTAGATCTTAGCACCCAAAAGTTAAACAGTATTGAATTTCACACATAGCACTGTATTTTTAATCTTAGGTTGAAGGTTATATCCTTGGCATGATTGAAGAATGACTCATATAATTTGCACTGACTTTTTTTCTTTTTCTTTCTTTCTTTCTTTCTTTTTTTTTTTTTTTTGGCTTTTGTTTTTGATAGGCAAGGAGGGAAGCTGGGAAGTAAGATGAGATTGAGGCTAAGTTCATTAAATTCAAATGGAAATAAATAAATGTCAATAATTTTCTTGTTTCTTTTTATAGTTATATATATAACTTTTGTAAAGATTCCTTGGAATGCTACTTTTGCTTAAAATGCAATATAAAATATCTCTTGCCACTAAAGTTAGCAATGGGAATTAGTGATTTTTTTTTTTCCAGAAAATGTATCAAACCGTGTCACAGCCCAAACCTTCAGTCCCATGTACTTGTTGGAGGATATGACCAGAATTCTTTATTGACATGTTCCCCATCTTAAAATACAACCACCATGAAATTAATGTATTAGGCCTCAG